AGAAGCCATCTGTAGTATAGTTCTATTTGTATAAAATTTCTACAACTAGACAAGTCCACAGAAAGCACCTGCTAGGAGGTTAAGAGAATTGGGACTGACCACTCCTAGATAAGGGGTTTCTTTTGGAGGATAAGAAATGTCATAGAATTTGACATAGTGATGGCTGAACAACTTTGTGACTATTACTAAAAATACCTGAATTACACACCTCACAAGTTAGGTAAGGTAGGCGTCAATGGCTTATGCTCATAATCCTGGCTACTCAGGAGACTGAGATCTGAGGATCACAGATTTGAAGCCACCTTGGAAATAAAAAGTCTTGTGGACTTTTCTGCCTTTCAACAAGCCAAAAGCCAGAAGTGGAGTTGTGGCTAAGTGGTAGAGTACTGGCTTTGAGCAGAAAAGTTCAGGGACAGCCTCAAGTCCTTGAGTTTAAGCTGAAGGACCTGCCAAGAAAAAAAAAAAAAGGCAAAAATATCCCCAATGTACTTACAACTGTGAATGAATACCACCCTCTTCCCCATCACCTTTCTTTAGGCCAAGTAATGATTCCCCTCCACAGCTCACTCTTCCATGAGCAGAATAAACCACCCTATCTAGAAAAACAAGTTCTCCTACCTCTGCAGCTTTGTAATCATCAAAGTTCACATGCTTGAACATCTCAATCACCTTCCAATGCATTCAGATTTCACCTCAACCATCTCTACTTACCAAAGCACTTATCATTTTTCAAAAGACAAATTAAATTACAACTTATACATAAGGTGAATTTTAACCTTCTAATACTCCATTGTTCTTTTTAGCAATGCTGGGGAACTAATTCAGAGCCTTGCTCAAGATTAGGCAAGGGCCCTACCACTGAACTGCACCTCACTTCTTTTTCGTACTCCTTTAGAGTAGATGATATGAAAATGATGTCATGTTTTCTGGAAAAAAAAAGTGCACTGATGTGCAGTTGCATAGAAAATATACAGAAAGAGGGGCAGGTATAAAGACTTGAGACTGGCCAATTTAAAGAAGAGACAACAAAGATTCATAAAAATCTATGGTTCAATGAAGAAACAAGCATTTCTTCCCACTGCCCTCCCCAGACTGGAGTTTGAACTCAGGGTATTTGATGGTTAGGCAGGCGCTCTATCAGTAAGCCTCATCTCCAGTCCCTTTTTACACTGGTTATTTTTGTCAGTTGTGGGGCTTGAACTCTGGGCCTGGGTGCTGTCCCTCAGTTCTTCTAGCACTCTACCACTTGAGCCACAGCACCACTTCTGGTTTTCTGCTGGTTTATTGGAGATAACCAGTCTCATGGACTTTGCTGCCCAGGCAGGCTTTGAAGTACGATCCTCAGATCTCAGCCTCTTGAGTAGCTAAGATTATAGACATGAGCCCCATGAGCCCCCAGAGCCTGGTTACATTGGTTATTTTTAGGATCTCATTTTTTACCCAGGCTGTACTTGCAGTGATCTTCCTACTGTATGCTTCATACCAAAACCTGGGCTGATGGGTGTGTATCACCACATGGCTTTTTCTTTTCCTCTCTTTTTTCTTTTTTTATTGCTTATTTTTGCAGGTACTAGACTTCAACTTAGGGCTTCCGTGCTTTTGCTTGGTTTTTTTCACTCAAGGCTGACACTCTACAACTTAAGCCATATCTTCAGTTCTGGCTTTTGTCAGTTAACTGGAGATAAAAGAAGTCTCTCAGATTTGTTTATCCAGGCTAGCTTCAAACCTTGATCCTCAGAGCTCAGCCTCCTGAGTAGCTAGAATTAGAGGTACACGCCAGAGTGTCTGGCCAAATTTTTCTGTTAAGATGGGATCTCACAAATTTATTTTTGTCCAGGGCTTGGAAGGTGGCTTAGTGGTGGAGTGTTTGCCTAGTATGCATGAAGTCCTAGGTTCGATTAGTCAGCACCACATAAACAGAAAAAGCCAGACATGGTGCTGTGGCTCAAGCGGCAGGGTACTAGTTTTGAGCAGAGCAGCTCAAGGACAAGCCCCAGAACCAAGCCTACCCTGCCCCCAAAAAGAGTATTTTTTCCTAATTCCTATGTCTTCACTTCCTTACATCCCATTCAACTAATCTGTTTCCCACCTCCCACTTCTGAAATCGTAGACAGCAGACCTCATAACTAAAACCAACAATCTGCCAAGTGCGCCGGCCAATCTTATCAAACATTACAGAAACATTTTAGTCTTCAAGAGGAACCAGTTTCCCATTTCTCCATAGACCTCCTGGTCTGATTTGCTTTTCCTTTGCTGGTACTAGGTTTTGACTGTATTTTTTTTTTTTGGCCTTTTTCTTTCAGTCTTTTTTTTTTGTACATTGCACTTGTAATTTTGCCGTTGAGCTACATCCCAGCCCTGGTACTAGGTTTTGAATTCAAGCTTCATGCTTGCTGGGATAGTGATCTACTACACTGAAGCCACACCTCCTGCCAGATTTTTGCTGGTTATTTTAGAGATGCAAGCTTGAGGACTTTTCTATGCAAGATGGCTTTGAACTACAGTTCTACAGGTCTCAAGTCTCTTGAGTAGCTAGTATACCATAAGCCACCAGGCCCTGGCATCTTTGCTCAATATTTTTCCTCTTTAAACCTTCAAATACGAGACCTGAGCCTCATTTGCTTCTCTCCCTACACTTTTTCACTAGTGCCCTACCACTTCGAGTCACTGAGACACTTTCTCCCTACACTTTCTCCCTAAGTGACTTCACCTCTTCTCATACATCTATATGATCATCCCCCAGATTGTTTTTTTTGTTTTTGTTTTTGGCAGTCATCGGGCTTGAACTCTGAGTCTGGTCACTGACTCTCAGGTCTTCAGCTCAAGGCTAGCGCTCTACCATTTGAGCCATGGCACTACTTCCAGAATTTTGTTTATGTGATGCTGAGGAATTGAACCCAGGGCCTTATGCATGCAAGGCAAGCACTCTACCACTGAGTCACCTTCCCACCCGCCCCCCCCCCAGCTTGTTTTTGTTGTACTGGTACTGGGGCTTGAACTCAGGGTCTTGACCTCTTGGTTGGCCTTTTAGCTCAAGACTAACATTCTACCGCTTAACCAACACCTTCACTTCTAGCCTTTTGCTGGTTAACTGGAGATAAAAGCCTCTTGATTTATCTGCTCCAGCTGGCTTTGAACCTTGTTCCTCAAATCTGTCTTCTGAGTAGCTAGGATTACAGGCAGGACCGACTGGTTTACTCCCAAATTCCTATCTCGAGCCCAAAGTTCCAAACTGGAACATCCAACTGCTTTTTCAACATACCAATTTCATAACTAATACGCATATCAAATTCAATTTATCCTACATAAAACTCCGAATTCTTTCCACCTCCAATTTCTCTCTTCTATTTTCATCTCAGTAAATAGCCTCACCATTTACCTTCTTAGTTGTTCCAAAGTCAAAAAAGCAAGGATTCCTCACTTCATTCCTTTTTCCCTCACCAATCCATTTCCAAGTTTTGTTAATTCGACTTCCAAAATCTTTTTTCACCCTTTTACTTTCACATCTCTACTGCCATAAGCCACTCCAAAGCAACAGAAAACAGTGTTGTGATTCCTCAGCTCCATCAAGAATTTTCCTTTATTTGGCAGTTCAATTACACTACTAAAACTTTCAAAGACTTCCCATAAAAAAATAAATTCTTGCTAGGTGACAGCAACTCGTCAAACCTGTAATCCTAGCTACTTAGGAGGCTGAGATCTGACGATCCAGGTACCGGCCAGCTAAGACAGGAAGGAGATTCTTATCTCCATTATTCACTGAAGAGCCGTAAGTGGAGAGGTGGCTCAAGTGGTAGAAAGCTAGCATTGAGCAAAAAAGCTCAGGTAAAGCACCCAGGTCCTGAGTTCAAGCCCACTAACAGGCACAAAATGCATAAAAGTAAATAAACAAGGGCTGAGAAGGTGGCTCAGTGGTAGAGCGCTTGCCTTGCATGCCTGAGGCCCTGGGTTCGATTCCTCAGCACCACATAAGCAAAAAGAAAAAAGCTGGAAGTGGCGCTGTGGCTCAAGTGGTAGAGCGCTAGCCTTGAGGTGAAGAGTTGAGGGACAGCGCCCAGGCCCTGAGTTCAGGCCCCACGACCGGACCCCCAAAAAAAAAACAAAAACAAAAAAAAGTAAATAAACAAATTACTGGGCTGGAGGTGTGGTTCAAGTGCTCAGTTCTGGTGGCTTATGCCAATGAACTCAGTTTCCTAGGTGGCTGAGATATGGGGATCGCAGTTCAAAGCTAGCCAGCCAGGAAAGTTCACAAAAAATGCATCTCCAATTAAACACCAAAAAGCCAAAGTGGAGCAGTGGCTCAAGCGGTCGGAGGCCAGCCTGAGCTAAAGTTAAGAAAGTGAATTCTGGCCTTAAAGCTCCAGCGCTGGCCCTCTCCCCCTCCCTCCCCCCAAGAAAAACGCTTAAATTTTTGGAGCAACGTGTCAAGGCTGTAGGATACTGGTAATACTTCTCCTCCTCTTCTATTTTTTAGCATCAATCCGTGCATCCTGGGAGAGTGTTCATAAGCGCTTCTCCAGTGTGCAGCAAGGTGCCTTCCACCCACGGGGGCACCCCTGCGTGGAGTCAGCCTGAGAACCCCTCACCCCTGGGGGGGAGGCGACCGCTGTCCACCCCACCCACCCTTCATCACACCGTAGACTTCTCTGAGTAAACACCCAACTTGCGGGTTGCTCTCCAACCCCCTCCGCAGGCCACCCCGGCGAGCGACCCGAAGCTCGGCCGCTATGCGGGAACCCTCCGCAAAGGGCCCCCCACCCGCGCAAACGGATCCCGCCTCCAGTCCTCCGAGGCCCGCGACCCTTGCGCACTCAGTCCCCGCCGCGGCCCGCTCCCGCCCCCGGCCCGCTCCTCCCTCCCCTCCCCCCCCCCCCCGCTCGCTCCGCGCGGCCCGCAATGGGGGAGGGGCGCGCACGTGCCCGCGCCGCCCCCGCGCAGACAAAGCCCGGGAGAGCGGGGCGCGTACCCGCCCGGTCCTTCCTGCTCCCGCGCACACTCACCTCCCTCCACTCTCCGGCTGCACCGCGATCCCGCCAGGTGCTGAGAGAGGGTCCCGGTGGAGGAGGGAGCGCGCCAAGCCCGCAGAGACGCCCCACCACGAGGACTCGACGACCCTGCAGCCGCGGAAGCGCACGGCGCGACGGAACCCGCTCGACCCGCTCCGCCCCGCACGTCAGCAGCGGGGGCGGGAGCTATAGCCACAGGGGCGCGCGCAGCCGGAGGCGGGGCTCTCCTGCTGGGGGCGTGGCCAGGGCGGGTCGGTGGGCGTGGTCACGGCCCTGGCCCTGGCCCTGGCCCTGGCCCTAGCTACTCCAGGGTAATCTGTTTGTCACCTCTTGTTTTCTTGCCTATAAGATTTGAATTTCCACATTTGTAGTTTATATCATTTCATTTTGTTTCACAGGGATGGGGATGTAGCTCAGTTGTAGTGTGCTTGCCCAATAGGTACGACGCTCTGGGTTCTATTCCCAACACCGCCTATAAAACCAAGGTCCATATTGATAGGCTTTGGATCCTTAAAGAGTAATTTTTTCCCCTTACTGGCTTTCACACTGGGGAGCTCTTGTGACTTCTTCAGTCACACTCTCTTAAATTAACCGAAGTGGGGCTGGGAAGGTGGCTCTGGTAGAATCCTTGCCTGGCATGCATGAAGCCCTGGGTTTGATTCCTCAGCACCACATAACCAGATAAAGCCAGAAGTGGCTCTGTGGCTCAAGTGGTAGGGCGTTAACCTTGAGATGAAGAGCTGAGGGACAGTGCCCAGGCGCAGAGTTCAGGCTCCAAGACCCACAAAAAAACAAAGTAACTGAAGTATGTAGCTGTAAATGGTTAGAGCAGGACAGCTGTAGAGAAGTCAGTATAGAGCCACGGTAGGAAATTGAGTTCAAAGCATGCTAACAAAAATAAAAGAAAATAGTTTAAGATTTTTTTTGAATAATGACCAAACTCTGAACCATTATTAGATCCTATTATTAAAAACAAACAAACAACCAGGCTGGGAAGGTGGCTCAGTGGTAGAGCGCTTGCCTCGCATGCATGAAGCCCTGGGTTCGATTCCTCAGCACCACATAAACAGAAGTGGCAGAAATGGCTCGGTGGCTGTAGTGGTAGAGTGCTAGCCTTGAGCTGAAGAGCTCAGAGATAGTGCCCAGGCCCAGAGTTCAAGTCCCATGACTGACAAAACAAACAAGAACAACAACAAAAAAAAACACCCCACATGACTTGGTATATTGTGCCATTAATGTGATCCACATCTATAAATATTCTTGTTTCAGTAAGATTTGGATCTATAAACATGAATGACATACAGATTTAAATTACTTTGGTTCTAGTCTCTTTGCTATTGGGTGCCTTATTTGATGGTATGCTAGGACTTGTGAATTATACATTGCTTCTATAAATATTCATGATCTTTGTTCTGAGATGCTTGAGTTATGTGTAAACAGCTGTATTTCTTCAGGGCTTTCAATTCAGAACTTTTTAGGACTTGAGAAGCATATTGCCTCGGTTAATTCACTCCATTATTGAGGCAAGACATGGTGAAGAATGGGTGTTCCGTGTGTTACAAAATTTTCTGCTGGCTTGTGAGAATATATTGTTCTGGTGTTACATAAGTGTTGAGTAATTATGATTCTTTAGAGAATTCCCCTCAACCTATATGCTTTAAGTATCTCATGAAAACTGGAGGCAGCCTGTAGGCCTCTTCTTTGTATTGGGTGTCCTGTTTGCCTTGTTTTTCATACACTTCCAGTTGTATTTCCTCAACTTAGGAAGTTGAGGGTTCCTGGGTTCAGCCTGCCCTGCCCCAAACCTTCCACAATGTAGCCTGGAGGTATCCTCAGGGTAGCTAGCTGAGGCAATCCTAGGGCTCACTTTTGTTTCTCATTTTTTTCAGGGATCACCATCTTTTGTTCCTCATCTACGTAGTCTTGTTTTAAGAATCTTGACTGTGTATTATCTCTGGAAGATGATAAATCTAATCCCTGTTACTTATCTTGATCAAAAATAGAAGTTAAGGGCTGGGAAGGTGGCTCAGTGGTAGAGCGCTTGCCTTGCATGCATGAAGCCCTGGGTTCAATTACTCAGCACCACATAAGCAGAAGGAAAAAAGCTGGAAGTGGTACTATGGCTCAAGTGGTAGCGCACTAGCCTTTAGCTGAAGAGCTGAGGGACAGCGCCCAGGCCCAGAGTTCAGGCCCCACGACCGGACCCCCCCCCCCAAAAAAAAATAGAAGTTAAGCCTTTAGTTAAAAAAAAAAAGGTTTGAGGGCTAGAAATGTGGCTTAGTGGTAGTGTTTGCCTATCATGCATGAAGCCCTGGGTTCGATTCCTCAGTACCATATAAACAGAAAAAGCTGGAAGTGGTACTGTGGCTCAAGTGGTAGAGAGCTAGCCTTGAGCAAAAGAAGCTCAGGGACAGTGTCAGGCCCTGAGTTCAAGCCCCAAGACTGGCAAGAGGAAAGAAAAGATTTGAATTCCAATTGTCCAAAAAGAATTGTATTCACTACATAACTTACTTAACTATAACCCCTCTGTAAATCACCTTTATAAAAATTAAATAAAATAAATAAATATATAATAATATAATATAATATATAATAAATTAAATAAAATTAAATTAAATAAAACAATAAAAATTAAAAGTTAAAAAAGATTTGAATTCTACTTCCAACCCAGTTTGGAAGACTATTCATTTTCCCATTGTACATGAGCTTCCACAGTAATAACAATAGTAATTATGATTTGTACATGTATGCCATCTGTGCATACCTCTGTGCTGATAGGGGTACGTTTTACAGATGTTGTAGTGGTGCAGGCCTGTAGTCCTAGCTACCTGGTAGGTTAAAGGGAGGATCACTTGAAGCCCAGGCAGGGCTGTGAAATGAGATTAGGTAAGAGGTTAGGATGAGTGCGTTGTGTTTCTTCATCTTGGGATCTAACTCTGAGGCAAGGACATAGGAATATGTCTAACTGCCCAGGAAGTTACAAGTAAAACTTCCCCTGGCCTGGTTTGGAAGGCCTCTCCATTCTAGGAGATGCCCTACACTAAGCAGACAGCGGTATATGAAATGAGTCTGAGATAATGTTACTGGTTTCCACCACTGGCAGATAGTATGCTGGAAATCCAGATTTCTCTTCACTCTCCTGCCAGACATACAGGAAGCATGATCAAGACCCATAGATGGGCCAATGGACACTGTATCAGGTCCAATTGATCCTAAAGCAGAGAGACTACATAATGTGGACTGATAGGCAGGGAAGGGATAGAAATATGGTTAAAACATCAAGATAAGCACAGCTGAGGATGCTGGCTGAACGGAGGATGCCTGCAGAGCTGAAGTGCTCTTAAATAAGTTGGTAAGAGGAGCAGGGATAGAAAAGAGCATAAGAGAGGAAACTTCAGACTCTTAGACATCATTCAAGCAACACATCCTGAACAGCCAACCATCCACAGATGAAGGCAGTGATGATCAGGAGAGAGCAAGCATATACCAACAGAGGCCAGTGAAAACCTAAATTGCAGCTCACAACCCTGCCTACAGATGTAACAGTCCATAATATCCCCCTCCCACGCACACACACATACATGCCCAACTTGCCACTGCCACCCATAGGTGGCAGAAGTCAAAGTGGGAAAGGGGGGAAGGGATCTAATAGAACTGCAACCTTGAATTGCTACCCAGTCTTTTATCCAATGGAAGTTTTAGACCAGGAGAGACTCAGGTAACTTTCACTAGCAAGTTGAAGTTTGGCCTCCTCTGCAATAGGAATAAGAGCCCATGAGTAAGTTTGCATCATCTAAAGAAAGATCTGATATATTTTTTACACAGCTGCCTACATCATGTATTTTAATAACAGATAAGCCAGGCACCAATGGGTTCACCCTTGTTATCCTAGCTACTCAGGAGACTGAGATCTCCATTCAAAACCAGCCTGTGCAGAAAAGTCTGTGAGACTTTTATCTCCAATTAATCAACAAAAACTAGGAAGTGGCAGTGTGGCTCAAGTGATACCAGCTTTGATCAGAAAAAGTCAAGAGAAAACTTGGGACCCTGAGTTCAAGGCTCAATACTAGGGGGGGTGGGGGGGCGGGTAGAAATCCCTTGGTTGAGCTTCAGTAACTCATGCCTATAATTCTAGCTACTCAGGAGGTTGAAATCTACAGATCAGTGTTCACAGCCAGCCACCCCAAAAAAGTCTGTGATACTCTTTTTTTTGTTTTTTGGGTCCGGTCGTGGGGCCTGAACTCTGGGCCTAGGCGCTGTCCCTCAGCTCTTCAGCTCAAGGCTAGTGCTCTACCACTTGAGCCATAGCGCCACTTCTGTTTTTTTTTGTCAGTTGTGGGCCTGAACTCTGGGCCTGGGCACTGTCCCTCAGCTCTTCAGCTCAAGGTTAGCCCTCTACCACTTGAGCCACAGTGCCACTTCCGGCTTTTTCTGCTTATGTGGTGCTGAAGAATTGAACCCAGGGCCTCATGTATGCAAGGCAAGCACTCTACCACTGAGCCACCTTCCCAGCCCATAGCGCCACTTTTGGCTTTTTTCTTTTTGCTTATGTGGTGCTGAAGAATCGAACCCAGGGCCTCAGGCATGCAAGGCAAGCGCTCTACCACTGAGCCACCTTCCCAGCCCCATCTGTGATGCTCTTATCTTCAATTAACTACCAAAAAAACTTCAAGTGGAGCTGTGTGACTCAAGTGGTAGAGTACGAGCCTTGAATAAAAAAGCTCAAGACCAGTGCCCAGGCCAAGTTCAAGTCCCAGGACAGGTACACACACACACACACACACACACACACACACACACACACACACACACACACACACACAAAATACAGGCTCCAGGAAAGCTGATATTGAGGCTGCAAAGGAGCCCAGTAGCAGGGGGTCTTTACACTATCAGACGGTTCCCAAGAGTTAAAGTTGGATTAGGAGGGCAACCTGAAAGCAGCAATCAAGGAAATGAGAGAAAACTCGCTCAGATACAAAGTTGTTGTTAAGTGGCCATCCAGACACTCAGGCCCAAGATGCTAGTCTCCTTCCTGGGAAGACCAATCACCTTTCTTAACAGGAATTGAGCTCCTAAAATCCATAAAGGAAACAAGTTTCCCAATCTGTTTTTTGTGGGCATTTTTTTTCTGCCA